CCCTACGGCCCGTCATGGCCGAGCTGCTCTACACTCCCATCACACACAAATGAGCCACCCGAATTATCGATCACCTTGGTCCTGCCCACAATCACCCCCGTGACTGCGTTCGCATGCTAACCGAAGCTGGAACCGTAATCACCACCCGCGATTTCACCTGGCGCCACGTGCCCGCTGCATCGCCCGCTCCCCCGCAGCTGCTACCTCTCGCAGATGACGAGGAGGGCGGGGAGGGCGAGAGCAGAGCGGATGCATCACGCCAAGGTTGGGGGGGTGAGAGAGACTCAGAGAGTGAGTCCGACCTCGACGTGATGGAGGCTCCCGGGCCAGGGCAAGCGACGCGGCTTGTGCGCGAGGAGGCGCCGACGGCACCCGGCAACGGCAGTCCGGGGGACGGAGGAAGCTTTCCCCCGTCGCCCCCTTCGAGAAAAGGCGACTTCGGCGGAGGTCGTGACAGCCCCACCGACAGCAGCAGCAGCAGCAGCAGCAGCAGCAGCAGCAGCAGCAGCCCGAGCAGCAGCAGCAGTGACGCCGGCGGTGCCGGCGGCCCGGGCGGCGAAGAGTCCGGCGACCCAGGTGGGGACGGCGGTAGCGATGGTGATCCCGGCGACTCCGAGAACCTCGAGGTTTTAAAGTATTATCCACCCGACGACCGCTACCCCCGCGGGCTGGAAGGGAAGAAACTCCTCTGGGGCGCCTCGAACGCTGGCCCGCTGCACCATGAGCTTGAGAGTGGCCGCACGCGGAAGCAGACCCGGGAGATGCAAGGTGCCGGAGAGATGCCGGGTCCTGGAGAAACACCGGCCCCGGAAGGCCCCGGAAGGGGCATTGCTGGCGACCATTCTGGAAACGGGCGGGACGGGGATTGTTGAGGACTACATCTGCAACTCGCTTGGGAAGGAGCAGTGGGACGAGGAGCACACACGCCGTATGGAGGAGATGTACAGGCGCGAGAAGCAGGAAGTGTTGGGCCCGGAACAGCAGACGTTCGGGGCCGAGGTCGACGCCAGCGGGTCTTCGCAACCACTTCCAGACCCACAGCTAAGGCCGAAGAGAGATGACGAGCCCGCGGTGGATAAGCCTGTGAGGGAGGCGATCGGATGCCTGATGTGGACGAAGCTGACGAGGCCAGACATCGCCCTGCCTCTGAACAAGCTCCAGAAGATCGCCCACTCACCCACCGGGAGGACATGGAACGCGCTTGTGCGGATCATGTCCTACCTGAACTTCACGAAGGACTTCGGCATCACCTACGTACGGGGGTCAGGACTAGACCTAAGCGTGTTTGTCGATGCCAGCTACGCTGACAACGAAGTAGACAGGCGTTCTACGACCGGGCTAGCTGTGACCGTAGTAGGTGGTACCATAGTGTGTGTATCCACCAAGACGCAGCCAGTGCCGGCTCAGTCGACCTCGGCAGCAGAGAATATGGCAGCCGGGGAGAGCGTGAAGGAGGCGTTGTTTGTGCGTGGCGTTCTGTCGTTCATTGCGCCCGAGACGAGCGGGGCGAAGATCAAGGTCCTTCAGGACAACAAGGGGGCTCTCGCCTTAATCGAGAACCCGTTCAGGTCAGCGAGGAGCAAGCACATCGACGTGCGGTTCCATTTCATTCGCGAGCTATTCAAGTCGGGCAAGATCACTGCAGAGTATATTCCGACTGGAGAGCAGCACGCCGACATACTGACCAAGANAGCGTGAAGGAGGCGTTGTTTGTGCGTGGCGTTCTGTCGTTCATTGCGCCCGAGACGAGTGGGGCGAAGATCAAGGTCCTTGAGGACAACAAGGGGGCTCTCGCCTTAATCGAGAACCCGTTCAGCTC